AAACCAAATGGAGCAGAGAAATAGCCTACAGGAACTCAAGGAAAACATACTGTGATATTCAGCATGACTTTGAAAGCTTGGTGATATCTGAAACTCTCCATGTTGGTCACTTTAATTTTACTCCAAGTTTGTTTTGCATTTTTCAAAAACTTTTTAATGCAGCGAAACAGAACATGGATATAGAATCACCACTGTCAAAAAAAAGTGCAAAGGGGTGTTCACATGTTGCTGAAGCACATCCACTCCAGAACAAGTAGCAAGACTCTCATGTGGCATGCGACACAAGTACAATAGTTCAAACTCAAATCCCAGTCCCTTAGACTACCTTAAATTTCTACATTAACACAAGTGCTAAAGGTATAGGACAAAGGGATGAACAGGTGAAGAGAAACCAATTCTGCATTGTCATATTCTCTAGATTTTTTCTGCTTGCTTTGAAGAACAGCGCACTAGACTGTGACCCTTTTCAAATTGTTTTTGTATTTCATTTTAGTAACTCGTTGCTAATGGTTTTTTTCTGTCATTTCAGACAGACCTGTTTTAGTAACCAGCTGCTGGCGGAATTGATTTACCTGTTCATACAAACTTGCTTGTTTCAGGAAAGCAAAGTGTAGTTGAGCCGCTTTTGAGGGAAACTGCTTTTTTCCATTTTGAGCCCCTTCACTGTGCTTCTGAACAACTGTGGCATGCTGTTCAAAATGTCCATACAATGCTGCTTTCCCCCCACCCTTTTTCACCATGGGATCTTCCTCTTAATTTTTTCGAATGTTATACAGTGAGCGCTATAGCGCTAAACCAATATAGCACTGAAGTGCTATAGCAGCATCATTGAGATGCATTGACTCCATTGATTCCATTCACCTTAGAATGTTAAAAAAGTCAGAGGAAGATTGCATGGGGTGGGGAAGTGGCACTGTTTGAAATTACCATAGCGCATCCAAGACAGCTCATTAGCAGAAGGAAATTCGCTGTATCGCTTTACTCTAAATCAGGCCAACAATAAACAACATCTGGTTTAGAATGGTAATGTGAAAATGGCCAGTGAGTGGATGTCAGGAAACTGGGATTTACTTCAGTAATTACAGTTCTTTAGAGTGAGTGCTAATAGAGAGAAAATGTAGCAAAGGAGTTTGGACTAACACTGAGGAGATCTGAGTTCAGAACGCCATGTGAATCTGACTATGTGACACCTTGGCCCCATCACCATCTCTCATAAGCCTAATCTACTTTCTATGGTTGCTGTGAGGATAAAACAGAGAAGAAAAGAAGCAAGTAAGTAAGGAGTAAATTCAGAGCTTAACGGTTCAGGTTAATGAACCAAGACGATCTTCCAAAATAGGGCTGAGACCTGATCTACTACACATGGGCTGCAATGTCATCAGTATGCGGATTACACCCAGCTCTATCTGCTGTTGGGCAGCCAGTCTGACTCTAGACTGGAAAATCTGGGTTTGGTGTTACAAGCCATGGCTGGCTGGCTTAGACTGAATCCAATGAAGATGGAGGTCCTGTGCCTGAGTTGAGGCGGTCCGGGGCTAGGGATCCCACTCCTGACCTTTGATGGGGTGCCACTGGTGCTAGCGCCAGAGGTTAGGAGTCTGGGAGTGCTCTTGGATGCCTCCCTAATGATGGAGGCCCAGGTAGCAGCCACTACTAAGTCAGCCTTTCATCACCTTTGCCTGATCAGGCAGTTGGTTCCCTTCCTTGAACGCAACGACTTGCGTGACAGTGATTCACGTGATGGTCACCTTGAGATTAGACTACTGTAATGCTATCTGCATGGGGCTGCCCTTGTCCCAAATCTGGAAGCTTCAGCTGGTGCAGAACACTGTGGCCAGGCTGTTGTTGAGCCCCCCCATGCAGGAGCACATCCAGCCTGCGCTAAAAACACTGCACTGGCTGCCTATAGCGTACTGACTTTGCTTCAAGGTGCTGGTTCTTACCTCTAAAGCCCTTTATGGTCAGGGGCTTACATACCTGAGGGACCACCTTTCACCACATGTTGCCCAGAGAGCACTGCGTTCAGGGTCTCTAAACCATCTTGCCCTCCCAGGTCCGAAAGATGCCAGGCTGGCTTTGACCAGGGCCAGGGCCTTCTCAGTGGTGGCTCCGCACTGGTGGAATGAGCTCCCGGAAGACACTAGGGCCCTGCGGGACTGTTTACAGTTCTGCAGGGCCTGCAAGACGGAGCTCTTCCACCAGGCATTCAACTAAGGAGCCGCACCTAATAAGCTTAAGACCCTGTGCCCTAATACTACCACCAACAGCCTGTGCTTCACCAGCATGAACCAGACTGAGATGACAGTCCTAGCACCATTGCTGACTGCACTCCTCATTATGACTGGTTGATACCAATGTTTCACCACTGTTACATAAAATGGCCTACTAGTACTTTATGACTGGTTTTATATTTGTTCTGTTTTTATCTGTTTTAAATTTTTATGCAAGCCACCCTGAGCCTGCTTTGACGAGGATGGCGGGGTATAAATCAAATCAATCAATAAATAGATATAATTGTTTGTACAAATATGCACAAATAATGGTGATGAGCTGCTGGAAATTTTGCATTACAGTTAAACCACACCGAAAGGCTCAGATTTCATAAGAAACCTTGACATTAGGGAATTTTATAGTTAGAAAAACAAACATGATAAACGTTGTAAAGAAGAGAGAACTCTCCTTGGTCCAGTCACTTGATACAGACAGATTCTCGTAGTTGTGACAGGACACTTATGAGGACTTCTAAGACCACTGGACTCATGCCTAGCTATGAGATCAAGGCTGATGCACAAATGACCATAAAAACACTATTCCACTATGTAGTTTTGAAGAAACATTCCTAATTTTAAATAAAGGAAAACTTCTGGAAATAAAATATGTGGCACTCACTGCAGAAGACAGTGTGGCAAAAGATAACAGCATGTACTGCCTTCAGGTGATTCATGCTGTGCATTTCTTGGTCACCTGATAAAAAGCCATGCCTCTCCCTTTAAATAAAATTTATTCTTTGGCAGCATTATAAATGCCTACACACGTATATACTGTGGAGGCCACTTTTACAGAGCACAATATTTTCACCTTTGCTTCACTACCCATGACCTAATTAATTTGGCCAATTATCTTCCCGGCTGTTAAAATGCTCAGTTTAATGTCAAGTGGTTTATTTTTAATAGCATCTGGTCCAAATGAATTAAAAACAATATTAAAGCCACATTTTTGAGCTGGAAAGTCAGGTCTACTCTCCCTGACAAAAGGCAGAAAGCAGTCCATGTGTAACCCCAGCATTGCCTTGCTTCAGAACTACTGAACAAAAACACTGCTGCAGTTCCAGGGAAGACTGTGCTCAACATCCCACTGGGGAAAAAGTGCCCATTTGCCCCTATACTGCTCCAAGCTCTGACAGCCTTCTCTCTCTCTCTCTCTCTCTCGCTCTCTCTCTCTCTCGCTCTCTCTCTCTCTCGCTCTCTCTCTCTCTCGCTCTCTCTCTCTCTCGCTCTCTCTCTCTCTCGCTCTCTCTCTCTCTCGCTCTCTCTCTCTCTCTCTCTCTCTCTGTGTGTGTGTGTGTGAGAGAGAGAGAGAGATGCCATCAAGTCGAAGCCAACTTATGGCGAACCCATGGGGTTTTCAAGGCAAGAGACATTCAGAGATGGTTTGCAATGGCCTGCCTCTGTGACATGACCCTGGACTTCCTTGGTGGTCTCCCATCCAAATACTGACCAGGCCTGACCCTGCTTAGCTTGCAAAATCTGACGAGATCGGGCTAGCCTGGGCCATCCAGGTCAGGGCAGCATTGTATAATATAGCCATTGAGATAGGTCCTCTCATTGTCTGTTCCACGCTGATAGAAACCTCTTGCCAAATCCTAAGAACCTTTGGAAAATTAGCTTTGTGCTGCTATGGTGGATCGATCTAACCTGAGCAGAGTTGTGTTATAGTGCAACACTAGGCAGCGTTGTATCCAAGCCCAATGACTTCAATGAATTTAGAAGGGTGGAACTCTGTTGAGGACTGCACTGGAAATACTGTATTTATTGCTACACTTGGATAAATGTGGTCCCCCCCCCCATGCAATATCCATTTTTAGCTATTAAGATAGTACAGTCTACACACACGCCCACACAGACATGTAACAGAAAAAGTTAAAACACCGACAATTTCCCCAACACATGAAACCTGTTACGCTGAAAGGCACAGCTTGTGTGTGTGTACTTGTGACAGGTTACTGGAATAAGGTTGGACCATCACTTTCACCTCAATTTATCCTTTTACTCAGAAAAGGAAAACCATTTCTCCAATATAATGAGACAAAGGAGCTGAACACCACTTCAATTTGACTTGACCTGTCAGCCATCATAAGCAGCGGCCCCTGCAAAGTACTGCAAGTCCTCAGGTGTGCTGAACCTGCAAATGAGCTAATGGGAACATTCGCATCCCTGCAAAAAGCAGTTTATATATAAAAAAGAGGGCTCCATAAATCCAGTGGGTTGGAAAACTTGATTTCCTTGAAAAATTTAGTTTCCACAACAATTTATAATAAGATGCTGCTGCTACAGAAAAAGAAGGAAGGAAGGACAGGAGAATTGACTAAATATATTGATGAATATGCTGGCAAGATGCATCTGAATTTAAAGTTCTCCTCCAGCCTAACTGGCCCGTTAATATTCCAAGAACCTGAGCAACGTGCTTCAGTAGCAAGGTAAGTCCTATGATAAATGTGTTCTCCAATCTGTGCGCCAGTCAAGCAGCTATAAAAATCAGAATAATGCATGCAAAAATTTTCATTATGTTTCTAAACACACTTATTTACATTTTAAATCACACGGCAGACAAGGTGAAATATCCTTCATTTCGACAGGTGTGAATGAGAAAACAGATGCATCCATTAAGCCAGAAACAATTCCATGAATAATTATCACAATAATAGTACAAATAAAACCAACAACAACAACAACACTGAGACTTTGTTCCCTCTTAGGAGTTCAGGCCATTGACTAACTTACTTGAAAGAACACAGCCATGGCGCCTATGACTCTTTTCTCTTGGATAGCTGTCCCAAAACTGTCAAAGTCATCAGGGTTGTAGAAATAAATCTGCATCTGTGGGAAATTGAAGGACAAAATCATGTTGAGAATAAAGACACAAGACTTTTATCAAAGCTCTAGTATCTAGTCTTGAAAGGATTCGGACACAAAATGTTACAGAACCTTGCAAATCCTTTTGTAGGTCAGTTTCTGAGACTGATCCAGGAATTCTCGTGATTTTGGCTGCTGGTTGAGCAACAATGGCCCATGTAATAAAAGCAAGACTAAACAGTCTCCGGATTGAATTGTTGTGTGTGATGAGAGATGTACACAGCCACCCTTGTCCAAGTATGAGTATCCTTTGTTCCTGAATTTTTTTTTGTATTTATTTAATTAATTTATACCCCACTTTTCTCCCCAGTAAAGGTCCAAAAGTGGCTTATAACATTCTGCCTTTCTCCATTTTATTCTCACAACAAACCTGTGAGGTAAGTCAGGTTGAGAGTATGTGACGGACCCAAACATGCCCAGCATGCACCGCTAAAAAGCTTCCAAAGCAGTTTAGAAAACAAATAGTTAAAATAAGCCATGAATCAGTTTTAACAAAGAAAAGGCAGCTAAGCTGGCTAAATATTGAGAAATTGAGCATAAAATAAAAAAGAAAACACAGTGTCATCCACATCATAAACCAGAATACTGGGAAAGTCCATGTGGTATAGCTGGTTGGATTAGGATGGGGTTCCCAATATGGTGCCCATGGGTGGTGCCCGGCAAGGTTTCTGATTGGCCACTGGAGATTTGACTGACTGTGTCGATTTTTTTTTATTAAAACAAATTGCTTTGCCAGCAGCTGCCACCACAGCAGAAGAATCTTCACTGTAAGACTGAAGGTAAACTGTGGCAGCCATTTTGTGGCTGTGCCAACTACACTGTGTCAGAATTGCAAAGGTGCCCACAGGCTCAAAAATGTTGGGGACCCCTGGATTAGGACATGGGAGATCCATGTTCAAATCTTTTCTCAGCCAAGAAGCTCAGTTGGATGACTGGGGCCAGTCAGTGTCTTGCTACCTGAGCCTTTTTTACAGGGTCACTAGGAGGAAAATTTGAGGAAGGGATATACACCATGCATGCCATCCTGTTCTGTAGAGGAAGGGAGGGATAAAAATTTAATTCATAGAATCATAGAGTAGGAAGGGACCTCCAGGGTCACCTAGTCCAACCCCCGGCACAGTGCAGGAAATTCACAAATACTCCCACTCACCCACAGCCAGTGACCCCTGCTGCATGCCCAGAAGATGGCAAACACCCCCCCCCCCGGATCACTGACCAAACTGGCCAGGAGAAAAATTGCTGCCTGCCCATAAAGCGATCAACATTTCCTTGGGTATGTAAGAAAATTCAAAACCAGAATATGAACACCTAAAAAGTAAAATTAAGAGCAAGAAAAAAGTAATAATCAAGGCCAAGGGGGAGAGAGATAAAGAAATCGACAATGTCTGTGAAAAAATGGAACACGTTTTAAGTGGGAGTCTAAACACCTTTGGTACTAGGAGATATGCTTTGGGAAGAAAATTCCAGAGTCAAGGTGAAACAGCAAAAAAGATCCCATTGTTACATTTCTTCTCTGAGGACAAGAGGGGATAAGGGTTGGAATGTTGAGATAATTTCTGTACAGCCTTTTTATTAAAGTGCAATATTTGTAGAAAAAAGGGAAGTGTAATATGAAAGCAGATTTTTTTAAAAAAACCAGTCAGCCCTTGAACTTGGTATATTGTGCTTAGTGTGTTAAATGTAGGTTGAGACATGGCTTATTCCTGAAGAAGTTTTATTTTGATTCAGTTATTGAGTACAAAGCTTAGTGATTCACCAGAACTGTACAACACAAGTTGAGAAAACATGGTTTCATTTAACAATTCAGTAACTGTTATCTTCAAACCTGGTTTTCAGCCAAAGCACCTCCCTAAGAACTTGAAACTTATTAGAAAGGGTTTATGACTTTCCCTTCACTAAAGAAAATCTATATATCTAAATCCGCACATCGGGGGCACCTGGGGGGCAGGGAGATTTCCCTGCGCACGTGGGGCAATGCCCAGGTGTGCAGAAAAATCTGAAAACTGTAAAATAATATAGGAGAGATAATTAAATACCCCCAACAGTAAAAGAGCATCCCCTGCACATGCACAGGGAATGCTCTTAGAACAGCTTCTCCGCTGCCACCACCACCAGAGAGGGGGAGGGGGAGAAGGCATGGCCGGCGGCTATAAGCTGCTCAGCCCTAGCCGCTTGGGGGGGGGGAGAAAGTTTGGCAGGCCGGCAAGGCCTTGCTGCAGCCGCTGAGGGGGGAGGGAGGGAGAAAGTTTGGCAGGCTGGCGAGGCCTTGCCGCCACGGGGGGAGGGAGAAAGTTAGGTGGGCCAGCGAGGCCTCGCCACCGCAGCTGAGTGGAAAGGGGGAAAGTCTGGCAGGCCGGCGAGGCCTCGCTGCCGCCAGGGGAGGGGGGAGGGAGAAAGTTCAGCGGGCCAGTTAGGCCTCACCGCTGCTGCCGCTGCTAGGGAAGATGAGAAGCTTGGAGGGGGCCTCGCCGTGGGTGCCGGGGACGGGACAGGGGAGAAGGCTCATCTGCAGCTGCTTCCTTCTCCTGTGGAGCTTCTCCTCCCCCCCGCAAGTATCGCGGGTCCCCCTTCTTGTCCCTTCTAATTCTCTCCTCAGTGTGAGGAATATTGAAATAGGTCCTGAATTCCGCATTCCATTTCACTCTCTCTCTTCCCCCCCAGCCCTATCTGGTAGTTTAACTGTCTGCTTCCATCATCGATTTCCCCCACATTCCTCTGATTGGTTGGTTAAATACTGAGTGGTAATTGGCAGGTAAGAGCATCCCTAGATGCTGTACATGGCTTTGATCGTCACACCCATCTCTAATCTCCACCCACGTTGCACTGATAAGATGGGGGCCCCCAGAGCAGAACCTCTGCAAAAGATCATAAGGGGGCCTTATTAGATTTTTCGGTCTGGGTTGTTGTGTAACAGACTGTACAAATAATTAAAGTTCAGGGCTTTCAGAAGGCAATTTGATATTTCTAAATTTTCAAAAAATACAGTGCACCTGAAGTACCGCAATGATTACAAGGATTTTTTTTGTTTTTGTTCAGTCGCACAGTCGAGTCCGACTCTTCGCAACCCCATGGACCAGATCACGCCAGGCCTCGCCTGTAATCATGCAATGTGATGTAAACATGTAATCATCAAGTCTCCAGAAGCATTAAACATCACACTTCTTATTTCAGTCCCTTTGGCTGTACAGGAAAAAGAGCCACAAGCAGAGAATAAAGATGGTATATTTGGGCAAAGCAGCAGCCATGCACAATAGGTGTTGGGGAACCACATTGCTGAGCTATTGTGATGTATTGCTTCACAAATATGAAAGCCATCAAGGAACTGTTTAACTCCATCTGCTTTCCTGCAGGAGCCATCCTAATTTATTAACAGAAATGCAGTGCAAATTAGGGCCATGCACACCGGCAGCAACATGCAGATGGCCTTCTGTGCTGTATAACCAACACCTGTGCATCAACTGTTCCCACATTTACAAATCCTTGGAGTGCTGGCAGTACCTGCAGTTCAATATCATTCCTCTATTTGCATGGGAGGCTACTTTTTCCGGCACTGAACAGAGAGACTCCATAATCATTACTGACATTTTCCCCAATGAGGAACTATGCTGGTCTTGCCGTGAAAACACAGTAAACCGATAGCGTGGTTTGGTTGATGGACTCCGGTTTGAGACTCAGCAGTTATGGGAATTAATCTTTCTTCTCTGTGGTCTTTGGTAAAGGCCCTTATGCCAAAAAAAAAATCCTTTCACTTTTAGTTATTACAGCTCCCTCTCACCTAATTAAAATACGCTTCCTATTGTAAGTTGCATCTATGTACCCTGGGCAGACATTCTCATTTCTTGCTTTTCAAATGTGAGACAGACAGGCCACCATTAGGAAGGACAAACCCCTCCAAAAGCCCTTCTCAGAAAGAACTCTGTTCGCCACCAGGGCTCAGGTTTGGACATGAGTTAGGCTTTGGGGGGTTATATTTTGTGTGGTTGGTTGAAACCACTAAGCCCCCACACTTGATGGCTTATTTGAAGACTTCTATGCATCCTTATGGAGCTGCGGTGGCTCAAGTGGTTAAGACGCTGAACTGCAGGCTGTGGAAGGTCAGTAGTTCAGCAGTTCGGGACCCGGGTGCCGCATGATGGAGTGAGCTCCCATCTCTAGTTTTAGCTCCTGCCAACCTAGCAGTTTGAAAGCAAGAAATTGCAAGTAGATAAATAGGTACCACTTCAGTGGGAAGGTAACAGCGTTCCGTGCCCCTTGGTGTTTAGTCATGCCGGCCACATGACCACGGAAACGTCTTCGGACAGCGCTGGCTCTTCGGCTTTGAAACGGAGATGAGCACCGCAACCCTAGAGTCGGATTCGACTGGCTTTCGAGCAAGGGAACCTTTACCTTTATGCATCCTTGCTGACAACTCTAAAAGACCCAGAGAATGTGCAGTGTGATTTCCCACCCTGCTGATTCTACGCATTTCTTATATGCGGCCAAATAAGAGACAGGTTCACATAACTTCAAAGTCTCTAGGTCACAGTATCCATTTGCAAGGACATATCTAGGACTATCAAGATGCTCTTTCAGGACACTCCTAATATTTCAAATCTCAAAAGCAATGCATTTAATGGATTTCTATTTTATTTTAAAAAAACCCATCTAATGTTAACCAGCCCATGCCGGTCTGCAGCCATGAAGAAGAGAAACAGCCATAATTTTGACAATGAAAACGACATGGGCTGTCCCATGGTGAGAAGTTTTTTTGGGGACTGATGCTGTGCTGAGACTCAAAGGGCGATTTCTCACTAGAGCTGCCTCGCAGCACAGCGCCGTTTGCCCTGACACAAACATGTCAATTTCACACCCGAAGCTTCGGGGCTGCATTTTGACTCAGGGCTTCGCCCGAATTCCTCCGCAGTTTCGTGATCCTGGTTTTTGAGGATCATGAAACTGGGGAGGAAATCAGGCGAAGCCCCGAG